TTTTTTATGCGCTTCTAAATCAATATTTCAAAATTTTAACAATTTCTTTGTTTTTTCCCCGATTGATAGTGAAAAGCAAATTTTTCTCCTAAAGTGCCCACTGTGCCCAAATATTAAGTCATTAACCGCAATTCTAAGAATCCGACAGGTGAAAGAAATTTCTGGTTCTCACGGCGCGCATCCCGAAAGCAAAATCACAATTATGTTCGAATTTACGAGTCCCTGAAATTTCGGCTGTCAATCAAGTAATTCACGTTGAATTTCCGCGGCGGAAAATACATATTCTTACACACACGCGCGGATACATGTAATAATTCCCGAGAAGCGGCAGCGGCACACGTGTGATTATAATAATAATCGTAGAGGGAAATTCGGTGTGCAGAGGATCTCGCGGCCTGTGTAATTAGGAAAGGGCCGAGTCACTCTTCTTTATGCGGCACAAAGGCGGCCGAGTAAGGTGGTAGCCGAAGAACAAGTGCCTGCTAATAACAAGAGCACCTAATGACTGCTGATGAGCTGCCTTATATTAATTCCTCACCACAAGCCGCACGTTTGTCTCCGCGGCGCACTGCATGTCAGCACAGTTAAATAATTTAATTCACACGCGCTGCACGGCCGTGAATTAAATCATTACACCATTCAGAGAGCGCAGTGAGAATTAACTAACGCAGCATTGAGCTTTCGGCAGTTTTCCAGTCAAGAGTAGGAAGTGCTGAAGAGAAGCGTTTGTTTCTTCAATCTGGAACGGAAATGTTTGAAATATTATGTACTAGAAATATAAATTACATTTTTTTGGCACCGTAGCTTCTTTAAAAGGTGCCAAAATTATAGTGAAAAAGTATTAAAAATTCGCTTTTTTTTCATTCACTTTAAAAACATAAAATTTTATTTAGATCAATAATATTTTCTGAATTTCTGGATAACTTCTGGTTTGCAGTTCAATTTTATAGAAAAAGCATGACTGTGACTGTATATTTAATTTAATATAGCAATAATTTTTTCTTATTTTTAAATTTATTTTATTGTATTTACATGGCAAATGAATTGTTCAAACTCCCAGCTTATAATTGTATCCGCAGATGTTTTAGAAATTTTCATTCATTTTGCCATTCATATTTTTAATTTTATTTTTAATCCATTTTAATTTCAAGATTTATTTATTTCTGCTCAATCTCGTTTTTCTCTAGAAATCTGATAAGAGCAGCAGGAATGCCGGGGAGCAAGGTTAATATTATGTGTTTTTATTGTGGGCGCGTGCTACGATGACGGCGGGCGGGCAGCGAGCACGCAATCCATCCACCTGCCTGTTGCATTTCCGAAAACCATAAAAGCGCGGCCGCACTCTGCTTCCTGATCTTTAATATACGAACGAGGCGCGCGCGCGGATCTTGCATGCTTTATTGCTCTTTCCTTGTGAGCTCCACCGATCCGCACCTCAACTTCGATGTACACTATAATTTGCGTGGCTATGCTAACTGTGCATTGCGGCCAGGAAATCACGGACAAAAAGAATAAAATGTTGTAACTCTCGCGATGTCAGGATTAGTGTTTCCTTGTTCCTTCGACTATATTGCAAAGTTAAAAAAAATACTATGTGTCAATGAATATTATAAAATCCATTCCACTTTGTAAATTATATAAATTTTCGCATACAACCTTTCATTTAAGTTTCTTTGATTTTTAAATAAAATTTGGAAATCATAGGCGTCTCATCATTTTATCTACTAGGTAAAAAGTTTTATCAAAACGATCTTTATTTAATATAAAATTATTTGATTACTTTTTTTATTAATTAAAAAGTGAAATGTAATTAATTAATTACATTTGCTTGCTTCTTGTACTTTTCCCTCCTTCCTCTCGTCTCCAAATTCCACTCGCAAAACAATAAATCAGCGTCAAAATTTACAACCCCATAGCTTTGGCTTTTATGGTAGAAGGAAACAAAATGTGTTCTTCTCTCGCTTGAATCCTCAGTGCGTGTAACAATAATTATGCATGGGCGGCCAATTAAATGGCAGCTTTTTGCCTTGGCGGCTTGGGGTGGTCCACGACCCCGAGGTCACTTCCTGTCACAGCACAGACGCTTCTCGTCCATAAATTTTCGCGCTCATCCTCTCTTTCTCGGTTAGACACCGCGAGGCGGAGGAGCTTTGCATCCCCCTTAGACCTATTTTAAATTAGACGGCGTGACGTCAAAAGAAGTGGCGGTGACATAAATTCTGAATCACGGGCATTATAAATCTCGGGCCCGCATTCCTGATATACATACGTGCGGCTGCTTGTGGTAGCCGAATCTTAAACTGTGGCTTCCTTTTGCTGTAAAAATATTCGTGTGGTTTTCCTCATTTTAACAATTTTTTGATACAAATTAATTAAATCTCAATTAATCAGAAACAGTGTGTCATGCATTTTTCTAAATTAAATATTTTTTAGACATAAGTTGTTGAAAATTTAAATCAACATTAAATTTACTAAATCAACTTTTATCAACTTATAAATACTATCTGAAATTTACTCATTCATTATGAATATCTATTATTATGCATTCAGATTATATATTTTTTTTTTATTAAAAATCCCATACAATTCTTCTTTTGATTTGACGCTTATATTGTTTTGAAATGTATCAAAAATCATATTTATAGGTATTAAGCAGGTATGAAGTTTCAGGAATTATATAAAAACTATAGGTTTAAAAACCCTTAAATATTTACTTAATCATTAAAACAGCAAATTAAAAGCAAAACTAAATGTGCAATTCACTGCTCTGTGTGAAAATAGTAAAAAAAAAAAATATTTTATTTGCAAATTAATTCTTGTCCAAACATATATTGAGGTTATAACAATAATAAGTTTTAAATTATTAAAAATAATTGACTGAATTATTGAACTTTAAAACTTGCATGTACGTTTTTTTTTATTTTACACAAGAGAGCTTGCAATTTGACTCGGTGCGGTGTTCCGCTGGTTGCTTCCCTTTGAGGAGTGCACATGTTTCCTTTGCCTCCTCTACGTCTTCCTCCGTCTTCTTCTTGCACGACAATCATTCATCAGCAGAGAATATCAAGCCACATCTGCGGCGCACATGAGAGAGGCAGGCAGTGAATAAAATATATGGAGTTGCTTGTTCGCCCCATTCAGATTTGCCCCATCAAGTGCCTCTCGCGCGACTGGCTGCTGCTAGAAAAGCGACTTTCCACTCCGAGTTGCATGTGGCGGGTGGTGTGACGGGAAACTCAAGAGCAGGGACCAACGAGCGGCACCGAGGGCGGTAGGGTTGGATGCGTTTCACCCGCAAAGAGAGAAATGACGGCGTAAATCACGTTCCCGCCGTTCCCACGATGGCTTTCGAAATATGTTACCAAGTTGAATTTGCACTTTTTTGGTGTCTGACACGTTTTACCAGTCGTTGGAGAAAAGTGTGATTAATAACATTAATAATTGAATGTGTCAAGCGTGCCACTATCTTTACAGAAGTGTAAAAAATTTGGTTTATGATCATTTCAGCAATAATTGACATAGGGAAAATAAAAGGATAAAATGAATTCTTTCATACATCATTTTAATTTTGAATCAAATTTAATGTCAATTTGATGAATCGTCTGAATCTCGATTCTGTCAAGTTTCAGAAATAAATTTACTTAAAATTAATTTACTTAAAACGATTAAAATAAACCTTTCTACGCAGCATTTATTTTTTTAGTGCATTTATTGTAGAGTTGCAACCCGCTCAACCGCAGTGTCGTGCAGATTGCATAACCCCTCTATTGCATTTGGCGCAAAGAGGGTGAGTAGAATTGCTTTTGCCGGCTAAACAATATTTATGAAGATTGATTTTCTTTGGATTCGCCACGCAAGTCAAGTTTTGGCAGCGGGCAGTTGAAAGAAGAAAGGGAAAGTGACTGCAGAGGCGATAAATTTGTCTCTGCAATTTCTCTTGGAGGAAAACTTCAAAGCGAGGCGATTAATTAACAAGAGAGGCTCAATACCTGCCCTTATCCGCGTCCGCAGAGGCGATTAAAAGAATGTCTACTTATTTATAAATAATCCGGCGACGGTGTGTATAAATCTCGCTGGCTGATTGATGTAATGTTTTACACGCGGTCTCACAACAAACTCGATCTTCTTTTTTATTTGCGTCGCTGGCCGCGACTCAAAGGGCAAGACTAATGGCGAGGACAGCTGTGCCGCCGCTCGGAAAGCGTTTAATAGCGCGTACTACACCCTAACTCTAGAGGCGGCGCTTCTTCAGAATTATTTCGAGTGCCAAGGTAGCTCTGCGCTTCTTATTCCACTGATCCACGCACGTCAAAACAACCCAGTAAAAACTTCCGAGTTGCCCCTCGCCGAGAAAGACGAATCGCACCGAGGCTCCACACTTGTCATTCCGTTCTTTTTTGCCGATGTGTGACAGACGCGCAAGAATTTGACAAATCGACAGCTCCGACTGCCAGAACTATTTTTCAAAATTAAAATTGCCCCGACAAAATTTGAGCAAGCAAGAATCGAGAGTTTATTTATTTCATTTTTTGTTATTATAGGCATGCTAAAAAATAACTAAATGATTTTGCAGTTGAAAAATATTTAATATTAGTTGAAGAAAGCCCTGGTAAAAATGCAAGAAAAAAAACTGTTTTAGTGTTTTTGGCTATTTTTAAGGTGGATTTTTTTTTTCATAACCTTTTTTGAAAATGATGATTTAAGTTAAATTTTGTGATTTCAAATAAGTGATTGAATGTGTGAAAAATCACAAAATGAAATTTAACTTGCATACATAGTTTTACTAAATAATTAAAAAGTTAATAATGTTTTCCATCAATTTTTGATTTTTGGTTGAATTCTAAATTTTAACCGAAATCTTGGTGTACATTGGTTCTTTTCTGAAAAATAGTTTGAAAAAGAACACCCATTTTTCCCACTGTTGCTTATCACTCAATAAATATCCTTTAGAATTGGAAAGGGTTTTATAAGATTTATTAAAACAAGTGAGGCATTTTTTGTTTAATTTTACCATTTTGTATAAAATGATATATTTAATGTAAATAAGGTCTGTATATAATTTGAAAATATGCACAAATGTCACAAATAATAACATGTGGATAGTCATGAGAGAGTTTATTTACTTTCATAATAAAAGTTTTTTGATGGTGAACGTTTTTTGCTTTTTTACACGAGAGTTAGTCATACATACATAACTATAGAAATAAATACAACGGTGTGATGTGTCCATATCTTATTCTCTTCAGCTTTTGAGAAATCATCTTATACAATTCCTTAAGCATTAATATACAATATCTTATAAGCTGGTGTGCTGTGGTTGCGAAGAGGAAAACAGAGGAAGAATAAAAGTTGCACATGTGTCTGTTATGTGAATGAAAAAGAAATGTATTTAAAAAAAAAATCAAAAAGAATGAGCATGTTTGTCATTTTATCATTACAATTTTATAACTACGATTCATTACGACATGCAATTTGCATAAAGGAGATTTGAATTTCACGTCCATTAATAATTTTTATGTATTTTTATTTATACCCACATGGATTTATAGATATGCACTCGCGGTTTTGTAAATATCATTGTGTGTGAGAGGAGTAACGTGTAGCGCGGTTGTAAGTGTCCATTGCACTTCTTCTTCTTCTCTTGTATAATATATTTTCAGCAGCCGCACTTCTTGCTCATTTGAAAGGGACTCTCATGCACGCGCTCGTCTCTCGCATTTGAATAATGCACGTTTACGTATATAGACGTATGTTTAAGTATAAAACAACACTGCCGCGCGCATTTTACATTTTCACATACACAAACAAAGCGCCAACCGATTTACATAGTAAATAACTCTGATGCTGCGGCACGTGAAGGAAAACGACAGAAGAGAGGTCTGAACTGCACTTGGAAGATTTAATTGAATTGGGATTTAATTCCGTTAATAAAAAATAAAAAAAATGAGAAGTACCAAATTCAGGAAAAACCTTTAGAAGTTGGCAAGGCTGGATAGCGGTGAGAGAAGCAACATTAAAATTTTAATCTGATTAATATTAATTAAACCTTAGCCTGTTGAAACAAAAATATTTTCAATTTGTTTAGAATTTTTGACAAATATTGAGCAGAAAATTAAAAATTTAGTTCAATTAATATTTTTAACAAATTTGATTGTGTTGGCAACACTGGATTGTGGTGGGAGAATATGGCATTAGTTGGCTCTGATTGGTCTGGATCAGAATTGTTTAAAAATTCAATAATGCGGTAAGAAATTTAACTGAATGATAATTTGAAAAAAAGGTATTGGTCACTTTTTCATCTAATTTTGATTTTAACAATAAAAAAAAATAAAATATATTTAATAGATTAATGAGAAACTCTTCCAATCTGGCTAAAAGAAGAGAAAAATTCAAAAAATTTAACTCTAGAGCTTTTCTCACCATCTGGGTCATTTTTTTTTGCCATGAGAGTTTTGTCAGGTGTCCAAGTGAGCGCTCTTCGCACCTCTCTACCCCGCCTCCTGTAGGTATGTACGTGTAATAACAATAAATTAACTCGCGCGGACCTCGGCGGTCCGCGACGCGACAAACAGAATTTTAATTCCGCGAACCATCCGTGAGCGCGGGTGCCGCCAATAAATTAGAGTAAATAATCCAGCCACTCAACTATTCACATTATCCGTCCGATATACCTGTCAGTCCGTCCGGCGCTGTCCGTGATGCACTCTGTGTGTAATTAATCTCGCTTAAGCGCGGTTTTAATTGTACTCGATGCTCATGCCCGGACTGAGCCGCTGTCACACGCAGTCCAGGGAGGAGGGGCTGCCCATCATGTACTGGGGACTGCACGAAGGGTCGCCCTGCATGTGCAGGTAGTCCGAGTGGGGGTGCCCCAGGTGCGATTGCTGCAGGTCGCCGCCGCAAGGTGAGTCAAGACCCTGCTTGTCCGACGGGATTTTTCCCTCCTGTTTGATCATCATTCGCCGCCACTTGGCCCGCGCGTTTTGGAACCACACCTGAAAACAGAAAATCACAAAAAGGGTCAAAATACAGAGTGATTTTTTTTAAAACAAGAAATATTTGGTGCACATTTGTAGCAATATGTAGATAGAATTAAGTTCACATTAATAACTTTTTCATGTTGTTTAAATTTAAATATTTTTCAAAAACTTCAATATGCTTTTTCAACTTTCTATACTTTCAATCAATATTGCCTTTTTTTTATCAAAAATCTGTCTTTATTTGCACATAAAATAGCCAAACTGTAATATTTGAACTGAACACCATAATTATTTATTCCATATTTATTCCAGTTTACTTTATATAATTGATTTGTCGGTTTGATAACAAACAATGTGCTTTTTTTGTTCGTAAAAAATGACACAATTTTGCTTGTTACTATTTCAGATCAATTTTGTATTCCTATTTTCCTAGCAAATCCGGATGATATAAAATTACTAATTATTTTTTATATAGCATTGATACTTCTTAAATTGCGTCAATTTTTTTTAATCAATTAAAAAAAATACAAAAGAAAGTTTTGAGTTAATCTGTTCTCCAACTAGGTTTGTCTATATATATTTGTACAAAGAGAACTTTATTCGGTTCAAGGGCACACCGTCCGAATTGTTCTTCCCTGTGGTCCAAGTAGTTTGGCCGATAAATCTTTGAGATCACAGTAGTTTGGCTTTGAATTATTCATGAGAGGGACAAGATGGTTCCGTGTCACCTGCACGGTCGGCTTAAAGGTTATTGGTTATGTGAAGAGCACCAGCACATCCCCCTCTCTTCTTTTTCTCTCTCACTCGAGAGATAAACAAATGGGAAAAAGTGCTGTTGTGTCCGTGAGCGCGCACAGGCATTATGGCCCATTGTTCGGCGCGCCGCATCAAATAATCCAATAGACCGGCGTACATAAATTTATCCGGCAGAATCGCCGAGCGAGGTCCTAGGGCCATTTTATTTTTACGTTTTTTTTTTATATTCATATATACTTGGATATAAATAATGCAGCAGTCGAGCAGAGAAGGAGAGAAAGAGAGCTGGCCAGTCATGTTATACCACCGGTCTTTTAATTTGAATAACAATGCGGCATTGTGTACAAGTATGAAATATTTTCCAAATGTCAGCCAGTTAGAATCACTACAGAGAAAAAGATGAATTATATCATTCAGATAAGAAACAATGGCCGTCGCAAATAAACTAAAAGAATTTTGCATAAAAATACTTCTTTTCAACAATGTAAAATTTAGACATTAAAATTAGCTTTTCATTTTAAATTTACATAATATTCAGATTATTCTTTTAATGTTAATATTTAAATATAATATTTTAAATGAATATTATTGTTGTTGTTTTTAAATAATGAAACCATTTTTTTAATTTAAAAATAAAAAATAGGTACACCTCACCATAAATGTGATAGAATAATTACTGATCTGAAAAGATCTTCATTTGGTGAGTCTTCTACACCAATAAACAATAATTTGATATTAATTAATAAAATAATCGTAATAATAAAGAGGTTAAATAAAAACATGACTGTGGAAAAGGTCACTATAGAGGAAAACTAGGAAATATTTGGTTAAAATTTTAAAATCTCCTTCCTTCAAAATTATTTTGTTTAACTCAATAAGTGTGTATGTGTAGAGAGAGCTTTTATAAATATTTATCTTGGAGCAGCAATCAAATTGGAGCTCGACTTTTTGTTTACTAAGCTGGACGGCCGGCGCGGCCCCAGCGTCCGCCAACCCCGAACCACTCGGCGCCCCAGTCACGTCCCGCCCATTTGCCCCACTTTCCTCCTCGAATTTGAGTCTCGACCTTACTTGGAACCCATCCGACATAATTGTTATATTCCCCATTGAACAGCATACGGGCTCAAAAATTTTTATGGCACGTTAGAAATGCCGGGCGTTTTTTTTTCTTACTTTATTTTTTGTCTCTACCCACTCGCGCGCGCGGTTCAAAGAACACAAAAATAAAATTCAGCGGCGGCAGCTGGAAGTTTTTTAATTCACGTTTTCCTCGTAGAATGTGTTTCGCCGCCGGAGCAAAATTGCTTCGCGACCTTTTATCGTCAAGTTGCGAAATAGAATAAATAATAGTCGAGGCCTTTTCTAAAAGTAGTGGCTTTTGCCTAATTTATTTGGCATTAGAAACATCTAGGAATTTGTCTTTCTGGGCGCGATGGTCAATTTAGCATTTTTGCGTTTTGTGTGTATAATGGCGCGTGACGCAATTCAAACAAGACTGAGGCAAGGTTGTTTTAGAGCAGTGAATGCGACGGGAAAGAATCTTTATTAAAATCAATTACAGAATAATTGTTCCGAAATTTAGTTTCGTCGAAATTTCCGTAGCATGTGAGAATAAAATTTATTTAAACAAGTTTAAAAGCAATAAATAATTTTATGTAATTCATGTTGAAAGAAATACCAAAATTTTTTAAATCAATTAAACAATAAACAAGGGTGTGAGAACGCTTTTTACCAAAATTTCTGAAATTATTAATTTACCTATTTTTCACATTTTTATACAAATAGTTAAAACGTCAATGATAGGAAAAGGTGGGAAAAGGATAAAAGAAAACTAAATTGAAGAAAAATGTTGCTGATGAATTGAACTGATTTTTTAAGGATTTTTGCACATTAACATCCAAAATGCGATTTCCTGAGCTATCCTTGTGAACACAACACATTTTGTTTTAGTCTCTTACAAATCGGGCTAGTTTGAAAAAGAGCAACACCTAAAATTTAAAGAGTGCTGAAAGAATCAGTGCCGAGGGGACATTCGGAAACAATGTCCCACCAAGACAAAGAGAGATCGCGTCTCTGCCGAAGCACTGGGACGAAAGCAGGGCAGTATATTTTTACACCGTTCGCGAAAAAACGGCAAAAACAATTCGTCAGCATCTCTCTTTCTTGTTCACATTTCCACATGATAGAAAGTGTCTCGCGAGAGGAGGAGCCGTTTAATTATCCGCGCGAGATGCCTTGCATGTGTCTCTCTCGCGGCGCAGCATATTGTTCACATAGCGTTCTAATTTGCGGAGGGTGAGAAAATCAATTCAATCCATTCTCATTGCTCGCTTTGTATATACTTGACATACTGCAGCTCTATGAGTTTCCAACTGACAATGAAACATCGACGCAAAATTGGCAGATAAAGTCACAACTAAGAATCAAATTGTATTTTCATCTAAAATAATATATAACATTGTTGTATTGAACGCTCTTTTAGGGAACTTAACAATTAAAAAGGGGGAAAAATGCCAACTCTTAATTCATATTTATATCACATAACAAAGGTGCATATTAACTTCATATTTTCAAATTTTCTCAATATCTGAAATAATCCTTCTTGGAAAAAAGTGGAAAAGAATATCTCAAATCTATATATTTTGAATCAGATTTTAACATAGACGCATGTTTTTATTATGTTTTTGCAATATTTACGTTCTATTACAAAAATCATAATTGATATGGTTTAAATAGCCCAAATTATTAGAACTTAGAATTGATTATTCAATAAAGCTTTAAACTTTTTATAAATTTTTTAAATCTTGAGCCATTAACACAAAGAAATTACTTTTTTGCTTATGGCACCCGTGAGCTTATTATAGGGTATTTGGTCGGTCTATAGTAAATTACTATTTCATTTTATGATAAAGGCCACGGTAATTGCCAAATTAACATAGCTCGTTTGCAATAACACCTTAAGTCGATTCTAAAAAAAATGACGCAGACAAGTCAAAGAAGTTCCACAATTTCATTATCACTGAGAATTAAAATAATAATTACTTTATAAGGGAGTTCATCAAAATTTTAATTTACTGTATAGGATACTTATTGGTCTCATAATGGAGCTGAATATTTTATTTTATCTTAAAATAATCAAAAAGATTTTAAATTTAATATTTTTGTTCAAATTTAAAATATGAACAATTCAAAGTAAATATTCATTTCTACAGTCTCAAATCTATATTTTCTCACAAGAATATAAGCAAAATTTCTGTTGTCTATAAAGTCTAAAAACGCAGTTTAGTTTTATTCAAATACAAACTGTTAACATTTTTTTTTTTTAATTTATGAGACGAAATGGTTTTGAAATTAAATATTTTCCTAAAATATTGTGAGATTTTTGTTAAAGCTTGGCAGAAAGTGTAGAGCTGCTAGAAAAAGCAGAGAGAGTCGCGGCGAGGCAGTTTAATATAAAAGAGGACCACCCGTGTGCTCTGGCGCGGCGAGATTATCTATTCCTTTTACATCTCCTCGTAAAAAACAAGAGCGCGGCTGCACATGCATAATATATAGTAGTGTGGTGGTATTTTAACGTTGGATATGAAACCACACGGTGAGCGAGCCAGAGAGAGTTTAAACCGAGAAAAAAAACGAAAAGAAAAAGAAAGACCAACTCCTAAAATAGAAAATGCCGCAGCAGGCGCATTATAATAATCCATGAGAGCGAGACTTGCATAACGCATTGTGAATCGACGATTGTATATTAAATAAATTTTATTGTTATTTTCAATGAGCAGATAATTTATGGTTGCGCATTAAAAATTCAAATGGCTGCTGCTTGAAATGCATCAAATGCGGTTGGCCTCTCTTTGTAAAGAGAAACAAAAAGTGGGCAATTTAACTCTCAGAAATAAGAGATTGTCACAGAAATTCATAGAAAAACAGCCAAGGCCTATTAATTGCGAGTTTTTCTGGGAATATTTTTTTTCTTACCTGCAGAACTCTTTTTGGAAGACCCGTTTTTTGAGAGAGCTGCTTCAGATCTTTGGCGTCGGGGTTGTGGTTGATGGCGAAGTACGACTTCATGGTCCGCAGCTGGTGGTGCTTGAAAGAGGTTCTCATCCTCTTGGTCCTGGACTGGCTGCTGGACAGTCCGCCCGGACTGGAGCCAGATCGTCCGAAGGGCGTGGCCACGTCCAGGTATGAGTCTGAGTTGAGATCTGCAACAGAGGCAAAGGAAAATTTTAATTTTTCAGATATATTTTTCCAATTTTTAATACAAATAAAAAGAAATAATTATTGAAGTTCTTATTTTGTAGTTTTAATCAATTTTGATGTAATTTTTTTCAAAAACCCATTGATTAGGTAAATATACAAAACATTTAAACTTTTTAGTCCCTTTTTTTAAACTGTTGGAAAATTTCAAAAGTTCCATTCAGACGAAGTTCTAAGTTTCGTTCTAACCAACCACCCTTTTAATATAAATTAAATGTTGCGCGCGGAGCAATTAAAGCAAAGCGTCTCTTGTGACTTTTAGCCGTGTTTGTGTTATGCTGGCGAGGGCCATTCATTCTGATGCGAGCATAAATCGTGGCGGTCGCCATAATTTAAGCGTCTCGCGTCCACCTTCAAAGGAGCGTGAAATTTATATTTAATTATCCGCCGTCTCATCTCATGCCAAAAATCGTCACCGCACGGCCCAAACTGCATGCCCACGTTCACTTGAGTTGTGGAATATTATATATTATTCAAAATAAATTTATATCGAACCAAGAGACATATAATATGCACTCTCTCGAATAAAATAGGACGCAGAGTATATTTTAAACGTATATACGTGCATGTTGAATTGAATAATCAATTAATCAGGCTGCCGATTACAAAATAGGCAGTGCATTCAACAGCTCGGCAATTCTAAATAATGGCCTCGCCGCACTCAAACTGGTTCAATTCAATGCTGCTCTGATACACACAATGCACATGCTGCGCGAGAGTTATTTACTCTCTGCTCTCTCCAAGACTGACGCTATGCATGTGAGAGATTATTTAATGCTCTTTAAAATTGCAAAGTTCATTTGAATTTTTCACAATCAATTTCAAAACCCGTGCATATGAAGTTAAATTGGGTTAAAAAAATTTATATATTTTATACGCTCAAATAAATCTTAAGGGCATTTATCCTCATCCTTCAAATTTTACATGAAATTTAAATAAAATGTGAATTGAATTGATTACATTTTTTTAATGTACGTAATGTAGGAAACTAATGGCACAAAAGAAGATGTAGACTAAATCGATTAATACATATATTTGTTACGCAATAAGTCCTTCCGCCTTCACATAATAAATAAATATATAATTTTAAAGAATATCAATATCATCAATAAATAGTTTCAGCACTGCTAAAGGGGCACTGAAAAATAAAAGGTTTTTCTTAAATTTTAGCAAAACGCTAATTTTTTTAAATAAAATAAAGATTAATTTTTAAAAATGTATAAAAGAATAAATAGTTAAATATAAAAATATAAGGATTTTATTAATGTAAACTTAATAAACGTTTTTTTTTTTTTGCAAGAAATAATCTATTGTAATAAAATTCAGCTTAATTGCTTGGCGAATTAAGATAATGCTTAACGACGCAACAATCAGTTCGTTTCTAAACTGGAAAAGAATCTTAATTCATTTTTAATTGAGACAAAACGTTTAGCACAAATGTGTATGTCTTTCCATCTGTTGGTTACGCGATGGGGAAAAAAGCAAAATCCTTGAATTCAAGCACGTATGAAGTTGAGCATTTGTGTAAACAACGAAACTGTGACGATCGGCTGGTGCATTTCAAGCGCGACTCAATTCAGTCTCAAGAAATAATAACACACCACACTCTTGACTTAATAGCGTTGCGGTTAAGTCTCGAGTCGGTTAATGCTTGGCAGCACTCAACATTAAGAAACCGACGACGATTCTCTTAATAACAAATTTGTACTTAATAATCGATCAATAACAGCACAATGAGAAATCAACGAGCGTTACGAGAGCGATAATTTATTTCCATAAGAGAGGCGGACGCAGGAAATAATATAATAAATTTTCAAATATAAATTATTCCGGTACGTGTGCAGTGAGAGTAAAGCACCTTTTGCACTCAGACGGCAGCATTATTCAAACCGCACCGCGAGTAATTAGCGCCGCCGAGGAGCAATAAACTCGAAAAATTTAATGCACGTATGGTTGGAATAAATACATCCAGTCGAGTATAACAAAATTATGTCTCGTAGAGAGTATAAAATTGCAATTCGAGTGGAAAAATTAATATTTATTTAACAGTCTGCAGCGAGAATTCTTGAACATTTATTGATTTACCCTATAACTGTTGCTTTGAAAATTGATTATACCTGCATGAAGAGATAAAATCAAAGGTTAAAACATAAATAAAATCCCTGCTTGTAAAAATACAGTTTTGAACAGGTTGTGAGGATTTAATATTTTATTTTAAACTTTTAATTTATTATTGTAAATTGTGGTGCCGCGTTACTGCCGTTTTGAAAAACAGTTCAATTTTTCCCTTCCAAAAATTAATTGTGTTTTTTTTTTACATAATTGTAAATAAAAATATGGGCAAATAAACAAACAAACATGTAGAGGTATAATTTTAAAGTGTTGGACAAAAACTCGTCGTTTCCCAGAAAGGGCTTCAGAAACACAATTTTTTTTACTGCCTCAACCCCCCAATACCGCAACAGTGTTGTTTTATTGCTCATGGTTCGAATTGCCCAGCCGGCACACAAAAGGTTGATCACCTTCGCTGCACAAGAAGAAGTGTCGGCGCCTGAAGGGTGCGTGCCAAGCGTATACACGTTTTTATGGTTATATTAACTCCCTGGTGGTATAGGAGGTCAAACCCCAGAGAAGGACGAATAGCGCAGCCCTCCCACAACCTCACCTGTTTGTTTCACCCAAAAAACGTAATAAATGGAAAAATATTAGTGGAGACCAAAAAAAATTGAGAGATTTTTAAATGGATTTTCTGAACTGTGCGAAAACACTAATTAGCACAGAAACACACACGCACAAAATCAACAATTTGGGGAAAAAATAATATTGTTTTCTCTTTCCAGAGTGTAAATATTGGAGAAAGGGATTAAATAATTGATCAAAATATTAATAGTATATATAAAAATATATATAAAATAATAATTTGTGATTCTAACAGTAAAATCATTCGTAAGGAGGAGGAGCGAGTATTTTTTTAGGAATATTTTAACTACTGAATGACTATGCAGAATAATTCATGGGATTTATTTTCTTTTGTGTAATAAATGATTTAATGTGATTAGATTTTTTTGATCATTTGGCCTATTCATTTAAAATAAAGTTTCATTTTAATTTGGTAGTTTAAACTTTCCTCTTTAATTCTGCGCAATCAAATATTTGACATAATATATAGCAGCCAACAGGAAAGGAAAACTAAAAAAAAATACTTTCCAAATAATCAATTAGAGAAAAAAAATAGTTTTTTGTTTCCTAATAATTGTTTTATAACTACTTTTCAACTTTATTTTTCTAACTATGAGGGTTTTCCAAAGCAATTTGGCCCATCCCTCTGCCGACAAAGCAGCCCTTCTCTCTTCTGTGAATCGCCACCGGCAAAGCTTTTTATACAAGAAAATAATCCCTTTCAGTTGCAATGCACATATGCTTCTCGGCATAACGTACAAGTCCCGCGAGGAAAGGAAAGTGATTTGAGTTAGCGGCGTATCAAATTGTGCGTGCGGCACCACTTTATTAGCGTCGGCCGCGATTATGCACGGGCAGGACCGTCCCCTCGCGCAGCATTTCACGTCACTTGACATCAGCAAATAACAAAGTTGACATTTCCCCATTTGACTGGCTGTCGAGCAGCCCGCGTGAATTATTTTGCCTCTGCGTTGGAATATGCGGCAGCGGGAAAGAGAGAGATTTTCGCAGGCAGGGAGAGGGTCAAACGCGCGGCGCGCGACATCAAACAGATTACGCCTCGATGGCTAATCCATCATCATGCCCGAGTATTATCAGAGCACACCATCATTATTTTGATTTGCAACTCCGTCAGTGGAACATTCGTCGAAAGGCAAACACCAAAGCAGGTGACTCGATAATTATTTTTTGCTTTGTGCGAAAGCATTTTGGGCTGGTGAAACAGATCTGCGATTAATATTTCTCGTCTGTTTCGCGCAGTGTGGGTTGATGAGGAAAAGTAATTATCTTTTCTGCACAATGTTTTGTTTCAAATAATGCTGTGCAAATGAAGCTTCAACAAAATTTAATCATCTTGAAACTATTGATGTTCTTAAATTTAAACAAAAATTAATATGAAGAACTTTCCAGTCCAACCAGACAATTTCATGGATTGTTTATTATTTTATTATTTTATTTTTTAATTTCTGGGGGATATTCTTTTTAGTACTCGTCCCAGGGTAACCATAAGCTATGCTATATAGAATCTCATATGTTTGCTCTATAATGTAATTTTCTGAATATTTTGCTAAATTGTTTTTTTAATATCAGTTTTGTAGGGGGGAAATTGCAGTTGCAAGATTTCATTTTTCTATCTGTTGATTACTAGCTAATTTTTGTTCTTCTGGAGATAGCCAAAAGTGAAGATAATGTGCCAAATAGGGCAACAGTGAGCCCATATTCACTACAATAAAATCATATATTTTTTATTTAATCTATTTATTTATTTTTTATTTTTTGTAATTTTTAACTTCGGAGAGCTCATTTGAAGCGTGGGTAGAAGAAAAGTCTGTGCAAATAAGTGTCAAGCTCACCCCAGCTGCACATCAGGAAAGAGACGCGTCGGCGGCGGCGGCGGAGTAAGAATTTTGCAGAAGGGGATGAAAAAAGGGGGAATCAAAGACTTATTTTCGCTCATCGGATTTCCTGCTGCCGGCGGCGCTCGTGCGTATAATATATACCAACGTATAAGTGTCAGCTTATGGAACTGCACACATTTTAATTGGCAAGATGGCGGTCCAGCAGCAGCAGCACTATGCTTTCTGAGCAAACACGTGACCCTTCCCTTCTGGCTGGCGCACATCTTACAAGGGTCATATTCAGAGCTTCAAACGCGGCCCGTGTTTTATTTTCCAAAGGAGTGGTCTCTCTCTCTCTCGCTATGGCTGCACTTCTTATTTCTCTTGCAGAGGCGTATTTTATTTAATTGACAAGCCGGAGAGCAGAAAAATAAACACAACGAACAAATAAATCCGACTGAAAAATTGCCGGCGAAAATCTCCGACAAAAATTTATATCTCCCAGACTTGTCTCTTTAATTTTTTTTCCTTTTTCTTTTTGAGACGTCATGCGCGTGTGTGGGAAAGAATATAAATAATCACCGGCTTAATTCTTGACAAGGCGATGGATTTTTTTTTTATAAATTTATACCAGTCTCTCTGAGAGAGAAAGAAAGTTGCCGTAAAAGGAGGACTGACTGACCTCATGAGCAAAGCAGGGCGCCTTATTTGTCTCACGATGCATCCATCTCAGTTCCACATGCAAATTTGTGCTCGGCAAGTTGCTGACCTCCGACATTTCATTCAGAATATTTATTGCCGCATTTTGTATACAAAAAGAAATTGACTGCGTGCATTTCAAATCAGAACACAATGAAAAGGCAAAACGCACTCATGAGTTCAAATCGTTTTTTAACTTTCATTTTTCTTTTTAAGGAGATCAGTATTATTTGTTGCAATTATATCAAGAAATTAAAAATTAATATCATAAATGAGACACTGTTAAATAAATTATAAAAGTTGTCAGTAATTATCAATAAAATAAAGTCTTTATAAAAAGTTTTTACATTTTAATTTAAAATTTAATGCATTATTTGCATTACTTCAGAAAATTTAATAACTTATTTTTTCAAAAACTTCACGACTCAAAAAACTGAATTTGAATTTTTATTTAATTTTATCCAATTGAGATTTAATTTATAATTTATGAATATATGTGTCAGAACTGCTTAAAGGTTCAATTGCAAGATGTTGTACACAATCGTTCATTTCTCAGTACAATAATTTTGAGCGGATCGTTTTTAAATTTTTATACTTATAATATAATTTTTGTAGATATGTTTTAATGCAGAAATTAGGATAAAAAAGGCGAATTGTGCTAAAGGTATAAAATATGAAAACATGAAACTAAAATCACTTCAATTTTAAAGGAATTAAACAAGCAAATTTTTAGAGATCTGACCTCCATTGCAGCTTGAAAAATATCTATACACGCGCTGATGAATTCTTTCAAAAGCAAAGCAGTTTCTGATTCAACAATTCTTAAAAAATTGTTTTGTCTCTTTAAAATTTATTAATAAATAATGATCCTTAAAATTAAAAATAAACACGTGCATATACTTCTATGCCAAAGGAATGTCAAATCGACGGCAACCGTTTGCCGAGACAAATTTAAACATCCTTTCCGGCCAATTTGCGCACTAAACGTTCCAAAAGTCCATCGCGCGCATAGTGAATGAGACAAAGTAGCCGTTTTGAGGAAGATCAAAAGGCGGTCGGGCCGAATAATTGGGATCGACACTCTGGTACAACACATTTCTGAGCAATTGCCTCTGCCTGGGGTGGAAATGCTTTCATAATTTGTCGCCGCGCGAGAGAGACTGGCTGCTCTTTCTCTCTGTTTGCTCCTCTCGCGTGTCTCTGCTCAGAGGCTCTTTGGGCACTTTGGCCGAGTGCCCACAATCAGTTAGCCGCGACGCCCCAATTAAAATTGCGCCGCTCATTACCTTTTACGTGACGACACACACCCCTTTGATCACAACCTACGGTTTTTCATCCGCCGCCCTTTGCTCTCTGCTGCTGCTTGGGCATAACAAAAAAATTCTCTCCACTGGATTATTATTCGCTGCACCTTTACGGGTGTCGCACGCCTCTTTCCGTTTTCACACTTTTGCATTAAAGCGCGCGCGGCTATGAAAGCGCCATTAATTAAATTGTGCTTTTGAAAGTACAACACAACGGTCTGCACAGGTGCGCTTGTTTATTTTAAAATAAAGGCACAGATCTACGTAGATTATGCCAAAAGGCCAGTTTATACGTCAACCCTCTTACAAACTTTTTACAACAAAAGTAGAGAAAGGCCATTGAATAAGAATTCAATCTTCTTACATTTAAGAAGTGTTATTTTTATAGGGGCGGAATTTGGAAAATGAGAATTACTTTAAAATTTGCCCCTTTTCTATGTATTATTCTCCGCAGATAGATTCAGCTGCAAGTTGTGAAAAAAAATTCATAAGAATAAGTCAATTAAAAGCTTTCATTGGTACTGTTTAATTTAAAAAAAAACATTTATTTAAAAAAAAATGAGCGACACTTATCATATAATATCAATGAAGTTAAAAAAAAATCAGCGGCTCAGAAATAATCTTTTTTTTTTTTATTTGAATTATTTTTTTTTCCTTGAGATACCAAAAATGAATTTAGTAATTGAATTTGCTGGTCTGCGATTAGTTTATTAATTCCGGTTATTAAAATATGGATTTTTCGAGCAATTTTGATTTTTAAATATTTTGGCATATAATATAGTATGTAACAAAATTTGTGTTTAGGTTGGTTTAAATAAGTTGGAAAGTATTAATTAATTGTAAGTGGATTCAAAAGTATATTTTCTGTACTTGCTTGAAAAATAAAAATAACCTATTTATTTTAATGCTTAAAATTAATTTCTATCAATAATTCTTCAAATCATGCCAATATGACATAAATCGTACTCACCGAGATTTGCAGTCAGGCCCTCGAGGTCCTTGGGCTTGCGCTTGCGCGGTCGGCCCTTCTGTCTGGGGGTGGAGGGGGCCGTGGGGGCAGGGCCGCCGTTGAAGAAGGGTTTGGGTTCGAGGGCGCAGGGTGAGGGGTTGGGGGGCGGCGGCTGCTGGGGTAACGAGGGGGGCATGTTGGGCGAGTAGTCACCGGCAGGCGACGGGAAGGGCGGCTGATGGTAGGGGAAGGGGTTGGCGGTGAGCTGGGGGCAGGGGATGGGCCCGTGGGGTCCGTGAGGCCCGAGGGGTCCGAGGGGCGGCGACAGGGACGGCGGCGGGCCCGCCGTCGCCACTTCGAAGTGGTGCTGGCAGAAGACGTTGGGGCCGTGCATGCCAAACTGGTCCCCTTTGGTCAGGGGCGTCTGGCACGCCGAGCAGGTGAAGCAGTGCACGTGGAACACGAGGTCACGGGCGCGCATCACCAGCTCTGAGGATAAGATGGCTGCTTGGCACCTCGCGCACCGCCTCATGCCAAATAATCTGCAACAAACAATCAGAGCAAATTTTATTAAAACTTTATATACCAACTCTAAAATTTTGTGCACATAAAATTATAAATATTTAAAAAAACGTTTTAATATTCAATTTTTTTGAAATAAAAAAGCAAAGTTTTTCATAATATGCAATCAATTTTCTCAAGGATATTATTATTCCGATTGTTTATTTACACAAAATGATATATAATTTCAAATATCTAGCAGTTATTTATAATTATATGCTTCCATTAGAAATTCATGTAATATTAACGAATAATACAAACTAGTGAGAGTAATTTATTATTACTATTATTATTATTTTTGTGATCCTCGATCCTCTACTGTTTATGATCGTTGAAAGTTGGATTCAAGATTCACATACTAATCTTATTCATCTGATGCTATTAATGCTAAAATTAATTTTAAACCGACTCTTCAAAAATGATTTATTGTCGATCAATATGAATTACTTTCTGCAGTTATTGGAACAATTGAGGCATGAAATTTATTCATTTTTTTGTGTGCAAACATTCTTTGAATTCCTTTTAAAATCGATGAGCAACAGATCGATCAAAAAGCTCTTATATGCATAAATCTCTCACCAGCTTAATTTCTTCAATTATTTATAACAAATTCATTTAATGATAACTACCTTTAAAGATAACAGTTTTAAGAAAACAAAATTTAATATCAAATTTTTAGCCAAACAGTTAAAACCTCTAAATGAGGGTATCAGATATACAATTTGTACGTCATCAAATTCAATATCAATTAACATCACACTAAAAGTGTATTTTAATAGTATATATTTTTTTTGATAGCTTTTAAAATCACGTATTCATCAATTTGTTTTTTCATTTTCAATTTTTTGCAAATAATTTTGCTGTATACAATTAAATATGATATAATCTGACTTGATGGCACTGCAGCAACCAACCGCACAGCAGCAGATTAGCAACATTTCGCTTGTGTCAAATTTAATCCGCTTTTGGGCACCCATTTTGCGGCTAACGAAGCCAAACAAGGACCAATATTTGCCTAGCTGCGTAATTCCGGCGCGACATTTTTGGCAACGGCGCGGCTATTTGCTCTCGGCGGCGCGCGATTGTTTGCTTAGGTTACCCGCAACACAGCGGAGCCGCAGTAGCGGCCTAAGCGCCCGGCTCTGTGTCACTCACTGGCACACACTCGCGGTGAAACCCGATCCGGCCACTTGAGCTCGCGCTATAAAAATACACATAATGTTGTGTCAAACTAGCGTCTGATGACACCGTGATTAAAATTATGAAATTTGAAACCCTGTCTGCGCTCTGCCATAGAAACTACTGCATAAGCTGCGCCGTTCTCATTATTCTCATTTACTTGTGCGTGATGTTCGATCAAAACGTTTGGTTGGGACGAATGACGAGCAGCCGTCATGGGAAAAAATATAATCATTGTCTCGCCCGAGATTAAAATCCGATCGCCCCCACTCAGTCAGATGCTCTGATGCGAGTATAAATCACGCGCTTTTTGCTCTGCACTGCATGTCTGCTGATAATTAAGAGGATTAAATTGAATTGAATTTAGAATTTAGGCTGATTTGTTCATCACTTCATTTTATGGTCTGCGGACAAGAACAGCCTGCGATCTAATTTGGTTTGGTTGTTTATCAATATTTTCCCCTAAAAAATCCGAATTGAGCTAGAATTTCTAAGAAAAATTAATTAAACGTTATTTTAACATAAAAAAAGCTGAGCAACTTCAGTGATAAATTTTTTTAGGTTTTCTTATATGAGGCTATATAAGGTAATTTTAATAATAAAACTTTTTCAATTCAAACAACTGCTTTGTGAACGTTTTAGATCGATATATAGTTTTATGTTGATTTATATAATAATATACCAAAGAAAATTGCATTGCAAAATATTATCTTTTTGCAAGTTCTCAAAAAGAATTAGTGCTATTATTCTGTATTATTCTATTTTAAATAATTTATATCAATTAATTTGTATTTTCAATCAAATATTCAAGATAAATCTATAAATGATGATAGTATATTACAATGCCTCTTAAATCTCAATTTGAGTGGTCGATTTTAAAAATATCGCACAAGATTTTTCCCGTGGTACCGACAACAAAAGCCACAATGAGACCGCAAGAGAAGGTATGTGTGTACAACAATTTGTCAAACACGATTTTTCATTATCATCTCCGCTATGGGTGAAACGGTCTTTTCTAAACGCTATACACTTTATTATTTGTCACAGCAGCGAATTCCTGATGCAACCTTTCTTTATTTGAAAGAGCAAAGAGACAAGCACGCCGCGGATTTCCCCCTGCGCAACGCAGATGCAGCTTGAAATGCCGCTGAAAATAGGTTTGATAAACTTCCTGGAGTGGATAATTTACATGTATATGCAGCAAAAGCAGACGCGCGATCAATAATAAATAATAGAGACATAAAGAGCCCATACAGAATGTTACTTGTAGCGTGTGAAATTTCATACACAAATGCGAGCCACCCCTCTTTATATGCGCGTCTCGCCAATTGACACATTCAAAAGCCGCAGACACACAGTAGCAAAAAGCACAGGTCACCTGTGGACCCGCCGACCGCCGCACAAAGGACAGCTTCCCCGTGGGGGGTGCTTCTCCCCAGCTCTTGCCGCTCGCTGTCACCAGCAATTTTTCAAACGTCTCAATTGCGAGAGCCGCCGCTTTTTCTGTGTAAAAAATAACGCCTGCCACATCAGATTCTGCTGATTTCGACTTCCGATCCGATGGAGATTGCGGATCAGCGATAACGTTAGCCGCCGCGGTGACATTGACATGGAAAACATCCGGATATGTTAGAAAAAGTTGCGGGATGCAGGACAAGGACAATTGAAAAGCACAACCATCAGTTTTACTTTTGGCAAAACTTTTTCAGAACAATTTTTGGGTAAGTTTATAGTTCAATTATTGATGAATTTTTAGTAAAATTTTAATTTTTAAATATTGAAAAAAAAGTATTATAATACCATGCGTTCAATAATCTAATTTTTAATACAATATGATGTATATCTCACCTCAAAAACACTTTCAATGTCAAAATTAAATTAAACAAATGTCACGATTAAAAAAAAATCAAAATTTGATTTCCCACTAATTAGTTTACCAGATCATATTTATTTTAATTTGGGTGAGATTTGAACATTTTGAACCGCAGCAAAAAAGGACAGAGATTATACATGTGAGGAGCGCTTGCGGTGTTTGTCTACTCAAAAACAAATAGAGAGAAAGTTATGTTTGCCACAAATAACGAATCAGCAAATAGATATGGCATCAAATGATTTACCTTCTCTGCCATGTTTGCATTTCGACCCTGGCGCACGCACTCTGTATGTTCATAACCAACAAAAAAAGAGGAAAGAGTTTTGCTCTGGCAGGACGAAAAATAAATAAATACACATTTGAAATGCAAACGGAGCGAGTGAAGATCAGGATGTATCAAAACGCAGCGAGTTTTTTTTCAATGGCCACTTCATGTGTTTGTGTGTGTGTTGATTTTTTATTTATTCGCGCACACAAACGCAGCGTTTCGTGCCGCCGCTTTGGAGGATGATGATGGCAAAGGGGTTTTTGTTGTTGTTCAAGTGGCTGTCTTTTTTGTTGGGCCGCCATTGACAATGGGAGATGAGATGTAGATTGGCCAGACCCGCTGCCCGCATATGCTGCACGTCAAATCAAAATTCCACCGCTCTTCATCTCTCCCTCCGGGAAAACAAACATAATAATGTAATAATGTTTGACTGGAAACAATATTGCTACTCTTCCCCCAGCTTCTATTATTCTATTTGTTATTGTATTGTCTCGCTTTATCTTTTCCCCGAATTTGGCCAAAATCGTTCTCCGAAAGAGGTTGTTTTATGGACGCTTAAATTACTACTAACCTGGGCGGTAACTCCTTTCAGTCGGCATTAGAAAAAAGTGGTTTGATGGATTGTGTCGCAAGAAGGCAGGAAGTTGAAATTTATGTGTCACAAAAAAATATAATTTGAAAAAAAACCGTTCCCTGAGAGGTCAATAACAAAAAGTCTTCTATATAAAGTACATTCTATGGTATAATCAAATTCTTATATAGAATTTTATAAAGAAAATTTGAAGATATGAAATCAATGTACTTTTGCAATTTTCAGTTAACAACGCAAATATTTACTGAATTAACTGGAACCAATTAATTGTACAAAATATTTTGGTTTTTACACAAAAGATATAAATCTTTTTTCTTCCTGAAAAGCTTTGTAATAAATTCTTAAATTTGTAGGTTTTTTCAGTAATAGTTAATTATCTTGATTTGGGCAGAGATTATACCTTATATGTTACGCCAATAAAATTAATCTGTATAACTAAACTCATAATTTTGTATATGTGCTGCACATTGTAATGCTCTCAGCTTTTGTCTCTCTTCGATTTCCCCGATTTGCCAGCACGCAGATGCTGACTGAGCGCCAGCACTCTTGCTCTGCGAGAACATACATTGAACAAATAATACATACGTATATGTTTTATTCCGAACGTGCAGGAGCTCTCGATCCGCAGCTCCAACCCTTTCACCGGCGTCACACCGAGGGTTGTTACACGCTCCAAGAGGCAGCAACTAAATATCAAGAGCGAATTTCTGCTCTCTCGGAACGAGCGGGGGGTTGTGGGGGTATTGTGCAGTGTTGGTTGTGTTGCATAAACGTTCATTCAAGCTTAAAAACCAACGGGCGATACACCACAGCTGTAGTGTATTTCAAACAAGATCGGCCCATTATAATAATAAGGGTTGACATATTTTCTATAGACGATTACACGCGGCGACTCTCAATGCAGTCCCTCGCTCTTGAATTTTATATAATATTTTTCATAATGCACGTCAACACTGGCGTGTAAAAATTCGTGAAAAAGCATTTTTTTTCCGCCGAGTACAATAACTGTCAATCAACTTTAGGTGGCTGCTTGTCGCAAGTTTATCAGCAGCTTTTTTATAAAAAAAAA